ATGCAGTTATAAGTGATGTTTTAAAAATCTGCAGTTGTTGTTTGCTAGTATATGACAAAGCAGAGCTGGATTCAGTGGTGCACACCTGTAATCCCAGCACTCAAGAGGCTGAGGCATGCGGGTCAAGAGTTAGAGTCTAGCCTGGACTACAAAGTAAGATCCTGCCTCAAAAAACAAAAGAAATTATTTTTGTATATTAACTGCAACCTGTAGGGATGCTGACCTGCATCTTGTAGGAATGATAGGTACTGGTAGATTCCTTAAGATTTTTTTACAAGGGGGCTGGGGATTTAGCCCAGTGGTTCTGGCGCCTGCCTCTCAAGAGCAAGGTCCTGAGTTCGATCCCTGGTACCAAAAAAAAAAAAAAAGATAGGGCCGGGGATTTAGCTCAGTGGTGTCACCGCCTGCTGTGCACGCGCAAGGACCCGAGTTCAATCTCTGGTACCAGGAAAAAAAAAAAAAAGATTTTTATTTTTTTTTTTACATACAAAATCATATCTTCAGGTAGTTTTACTTTCTTTCCAATTTGTATGCTTTTTGTCTCTTTCTCTCGCATTATTGCACTAGTTTGTCCAGGATGCTGAGTGAAACATACCTGGGCTTTGTTCACAGTGTTTAACCCTGAAGTGTGGTGGTGAGCCACATGTTTTTATAGATGTCCTTTATTAGGTTGCCACAATTTTCTTCTGTCCCTAGTTTGCTGGGAGTTTTTCATCATGGATGAATGCTTAATTTTGTTAAATACTTTTACTGTATCCTTAGCAATTACTGTCTGACTTTTCGCCTTTATTTTAATAATATAGGAATCTGCTGCCTGCCTTGCAAGCTCAAGGACCCAAGTTCGAGCCCTGGTACCAAAAAAATACATATATAGGAATTGTATTGAGTGATTTTTTTTTAAGTGGTAATCTTGCATTTCTGGGAAAACTCCAGTTGATCATGATGTAATATCTCTATATATTGGTATATTTTATGTATTAATATTTTATTGGGGATTTTTGTGTCCACTAATGAGAGAAATTAATTTCTAATTCTGTATTCTTTTGAAGTCCTTGCCTGGATTTAGTATCAGGATTATGCTAGTTTTATAAAATGACTTGGGCAATGTTTCCTCTTGTATTTTCTTTTTTGTTGTTGTTTTTGGTACCAGGGATTGAACTCTGGACCTTGCGCTTGTGAGGTAGGTGGTGGCACCACTGAGCTAAATCCCTGGCCCTCTTCTTGTATTTTCTGAAATACTTATGTAAGATTTTTTTTTTGAACTACAGATCAAACTCAGGACCTTGTGCTTGCCAGGCAGCTGTGGTGCCACTGAGCTACATCCCTGACCCGAGATTGGTTATTTTTATCTCTTAAATTTTTGATACAATTTAGAGAGCCATTTGAGTCTAGAGTTTGCTGTATGGGAAGTGTTTTTTTTTTTTTTTTTTTGGTACCAGGGATTGAACTCAGGACCTTGCACTTGCGAGGTAGGTGCCTGAACCACTGAGCTAAATCCCCAGCCCTGTACGGGAAGTTTTAAAATTCAGTTTCTTAATCGATGTAGGGCTTTTGAGATTATCTGTTTTTGTATCTGTTTCAGATTGTGTTTTCAATAAGTTTGTGCTTTTCAAGCTGTCTTTCATCCAAAGTGTTGAATTTATTGGTATAAAGTTATTCATAATGTCACTTTATCCTTCAGTGTCTGTAGGATGTCTAATATTACTCATATAATTCTTTATATTGATACTGTTTTCTCTTCTTGACCTCTTTGTACTACAAGTTTATCAGTTTTATTAATCTTTTCAAGAACCACCTTTTTACTTGGTTATCTGTTAAAAGTTTTAACGTATTTCATATATTAGATCTGAAATCAAAATATACAAATATATGATGTATATAAAATTATCATATGGCTCAAATATTTTAATTATTTTTTGTTTTGTTATTTGCATCAAGGATTTTATATATATGTGTGTGTGTGTGTGTGTGTGTGTGGTATCAAATATCGAGATAAACCCTCTGAAACCAGGAATGAAATTAAACTCTCCTCCTTAAAAAACAAAACAAAACCCCAGATAATTTGAGATTTTTAAGATACAGCATCTATTAGATTTAGTTTTTTTTTGTTTTGGTAGCAGGGATTGAACTTGGGACCTTGTGCACTTGTGAGGCAGGTGCCAGAACCACTGAGCTACCCAGCCCTATATGCTATACAATTTTGAGGCTTACTTTATGGTTCATCATAATCTCTTAATATTTTAACTGCTGTTGTTTCATTGTAGCGATCCTCAAGTGTTAATTTAGTCAAATTGGTTCATAATGTTTTTCAAGTCTCCTATAACTTTCTGATGTACTTTGACTACTTATTCTGTCAGTTGCTGGGAAAGGCCTGTTAACATCTTGAACTGTAGCTGGGTATGGAGGCTCATGCTTGCAATCCCAGCTAGCCAGGGGCTGGGACAGGACTACTCTTAAGTTTGAGGCCAGCCTGGGAAATTTAGCAAGATTATATCTCAAAATAAAAATTTAAAAGGGATGAGGCTGTAACTCAGAGCTCCCTGGGTTCAGTCCCCAGTATTGCACCCCTTCCCTGGAAAAGTCTTGAACTGTGATTATTGGTTGTCTGTTTCTGCTTTGGTTCTGTCAGTGTTTACTTTATTTGGTTGGGATCTTCCTAGGTACATGGGCACTGAAGATTGTTTTCTCTTCCTGATTGAGTTTTTGTCATAATGACATAGCTTACTTATCCCTAGTAACGCTGTCTTGCTGCCAGCTTAGTGTTTGGATCGTCTTTTTCGGTCCTTTTGTTTTCAACCTGTCTCTTTGATTAAATGCACTCACTCTAAACAGCCTGTGGTTGGGGCTTGGCTTGTAGTCCTGTCTGCCCTAGATAAACATCTGTGCCTTTTAGCTGGTGATACTTTTACCTTTACATTGAGTGTAATTGCTAATGTTTGAGTTTAAATCCCTGATCTTGGTGGATTTCTGTTTATCCCATCTGTTCTTTGTTTCTCTGACCTCTTTCTTCTTCGTTTTTTGGGGACAATAATTTAGTAATTTTTAGTACTCCCCTTTCTTTTAAAAATTTTAGTTTTAAAAATTTTAGTTTAGAGATTAGAATCTGTATCTTTAATTTACTATAGTCAGCCTTCTGAGAAAATGCCATGGCAGCGTCCATGCGGTTACTGTCCTGGCTGTGTTCTTGTTTTCATATAAATTCTCTATATTGTTTTTACTTGAGACAGTTTTTGCTTTTTAAGAGATTGAAAGATATACATAATTTTTAAAAAGTGTTCTTGCTATTTTCTGACATATTCTTTCTGGTGTGCTTCATTTCTTTGTGTGTGTGTGTGTGTGTGTGCGCGCGCACGCGTGTGATTGCTTCATTTCTTCCTGGAGAAGCAGGTTTCTATTTGCAATCATTTTTTTCCAGCCTAAATTTTTTTCTGTCTATTGAAGTGCAAGTCCACCGGAGACTCTCTCTTTGAGCTTTCAGGTGTTTGAAAAGGTATTCATTTCCCTTAGATTTTCACAGGATATGTTCACTGGATGTGGGATTGGAGATTGGTTGTTTTCTTTTAGCACTTTAAGAGTACTATCCCATGCTTCTGCCCCCCTTGTTCCTGATGAGAATCAGGCATTCTCATTACTTCCCTGTCTGTCCTGTGTTTCCATCTGGCCACATTGAGTATTTTATCTTTTCAGTAGGTTGACCCTGATATACTTTTATGTGGTTTTCTTTGTTTTCTTCTTGGAGTTCACTGACCTTGGATCTGCAAATTGATTTTGTTCATCAGTTTTGGAAAGTTGCTCAGCCATGTCTTGTCAATATTTTTTTGTCCTATTCTTTCCTCTATTTCTGAAGCTCCAGTCATATTCATACTAGAGTTTGTTTTTGTCCCACAGACCTCAGATGACCCATTATTTTTTTGTTTTTCACTTTTCTTTTTTAAAAAAGTTTGGATTTCTGTTGACCTGTCTGTCCTCGAGTTCAGATTCTTTCCCTTACTATGTTCAGTTTGCTGATTAGCCCATCAAAACAGTTGTACCTGTCTGATTTTTTTCATGTCTAGAATTTTTATTTGCCTTTTCAAAATAGTTTCTGTATCTTTGAAATTTTCCATCTCTCTATGCATGCTGCCTACCTTTCCACTAAGTTCTTTGTGTGTGGGGAGGGCGGGGGGTTGCTGGAGATTGAACCCAAGGCCTTTGCTCTGAGCCATATCCCCAGCTCAGTTATTTTAAAAACATTTTAATTTTGAAGCAGGGTCTCACTGAGTTGCCCAGGCTGAGCTCGGACTTGTGCCCCTCCTGCCTCAGAGTTCTGGGACTACAAGAGTGTGCCACCACGCCTGGCCTCACTTGGTCATTTAACATGTTTGTCACAAAAGGCCAGGGATTGAGTTCAGTGGTGCTGCCGCCTGCCTTGCAAGCGCAAGGTCCTGAGTTCAATTCCTGGTACCAAAACACCCCCCAAAAACATGTTTGTCACAGCCATTTGAAAGGTCTTGTCTGGGAATTCAGGCCATCTCTGGGTCTTGCTGCATCACACACCTGATGCTTTGCTACTGAAATGCCAGATGTCATGTGTAAAAGAACTGTGGCAGAGGGCAGCTGGCCGGTAGAGGGGCTGTTGGTGTGGGCCCCTGGCTGGACTGGGTCTGGGGTTTGTTGTTGCTTTAACTTTTTTTGGTACCAAGAATGAAACTCAGGACTTTGCGCTTGTCAAGCAGGCGCCAGGCGCGGTACCACTGAGTTAAAATCCCCAGCCCTGTTGTTGCTTTAGTTAGAATCAGTGTACTGCTACTTCCCAATTCCTTCAGGGTGTGATGAGCACCTTCCTTTGGGCAGGACCTGGATCTGAGGTTTGACTTGGGGGTCCGTGTGGCGGCAGCTGAGGGCAGGCTCGGCCCTCGGCCCTCAGCTCTCCAGCTCTTCCCGCAGGTGGCTGTCATGATGCCCTTGCGCTCGACGCTTGGGGAACCCTTCTGAGACCCAGTACTTTCTTTTTCTCCTAGCCACTGTAGCCTGCAGATCAAAGCTTTAGCCAAAATCCACGCCTTTGTTCAGGACACGTGAGTGCAGCCCCATGTCATATGCCCCGGTGTCAGGGGAAGAGCTTGCTCAGCACCCGCCCTGCCCTGTCCCGCCCTGCCCCGCCCTGCCCTGCCCTGCCCTGCCCCGCCCTGCCCTGCCCTGCCCTGCCCTTTGTGTCTGTCTCGCCTCTGCTGTGGGCTCTCAGCCGGGCTAGAGCAGCTCAGCATGGGGCCTTGTCCCCCAGGCTTGGTGTCATGGGGAGAACTAAGAGTAACTGGGGCCACGGTGCAGGGAGGTCAGAGACAGCGGCTCGGAGGCTTCAGAGAAAGGACCAGTCCTGGGCCGGCTGCCTGCAGCGGTGGCATAGGCTGTTCATGTGCTCACAGGCGCTTCCCCTCCAGCAGGGGAGGGGGGTGCAGGGCCGCACCCTCTGCCTATCAGAGGTGTGAATCACTGAGCCGGCTTTGCCTCCCCAGGACCCTGAGTGAGCCTCGGCAGGCGGAGATCCGGAAAGAGTGCCTCCGGCTCTGGGAGGTGAGCTTCCCCAGCCCTGGCTGTCCGGGCAGGCAGGGGGCTGTAAGAAGAGTGAGATGGTCCTCTCGGGCTCCTCCCATCTCCCCCTGAAGCTGGGTCGGAAAGGACAGGGATGATGGTTTCGTTCTGCTCCTGCTGGCCCTGTGTGGCCACACTGACCACACAGAGCCCAGATAGAAGGGAAGTGACCCTACCCACGGGGGTGCAGTGAAGTACCAATTTCCAGCCTCCTCTCTCCCGCCATCTCCTTCCTGTCCGAGCCTGCCCTTCCTCCACAGCTTCAGGCCACAGAGTGCCCAAAATCATGGCCCTTTGTTACCTCATTTCAGATTCCGGACCAGGCTCGAGTTGCTCCTTCTTCTTCGGACCCAAAGTCTAAGTTCTTCGAGCTGATCCAGGTAGACCTGGGGTCTGGGGTGGACAGTGTCACCAGGGCCCAGTTGCCTGGCACCCTGAAGGCTGCTGCGGGCCCCGAGGGAGTGTGGCAGCCACAGGTGGACCATGGGGTGCAGGGTGTGACGCTCTCCTAGGGCCATCAGGCTGACAGGGTTCTCGTCCTGAGATGTGGCTCCCCCACAGCCTGATGCAGGAGTCTGTCTGGGATGGCCACAGGCAGGGGAGCCAGTGGCGGGGCTGGCCTGACCCGGGCCCGCTCCTGTGTGAGAGCTGACCGCAGAGTTCTGTCGTTTCCTGCTACCTAAACTCTGGCTCTTCCTGGGCTTCATTCCAATCTGGCCTGGATCATGGGCCACTGTGCTGGTCTTGTTGGGGTCAGGGACTGGAAAATGAGGATCGAGCTCTGGAAGGAAAACGTGTATGTTTTCTGAATGGGGTGGCGAGTTTACCTGGCCGCTCACACCAGCTGGTGGAGAATCCTTTCTTGCCGTGTTGTTGAGGGGCAGCTCTTCCATTCTGGTGACATCTCATAGCTCCGGCGCATGGCTCTGTCCCGGGGAGCAGGGTTCTTTCCTTTCCCTGTGCTGATAGGTCCTGAAGGAGCACTTGAGCAGCTGGAAACTGATCCCATTTAGTGCACAGTTAAGTAGAGGAGGGCACAGAGCAGCGTGTGGGTGCAGGTGCTCCCTGTCCCCGGCGCCTCCCCAGCCCAGCAGCGTGTCCTCTCCTTGTGGCTGCAGGGCACTGAGATCGACATCTTCAGCTATAAGCCTACACTGCTCACTGCCAAAACCCTGGAGAAGATCCGGCCTGTGTTCGACTACCGCTGCATGGTGTCCGGCAGCCAGCAGAAGTTCCTCCTCGGCATGGGGGTAGGTCTGGGGGCTCCTGCGCCGGTGCCAGGGAGCTGGGGCTTTGACTCTGGGCAGGGTATTTCTTGAAACTGTTCCTTTCCTTCCTCGGACCTCCTGTGTGTGATGTAGTCATTCTTCCGTTTCTTCACATGTATTTCTTCACCCCTGCATTGCTGATTGGAATACCAGTTTTTCCTGGGTGTGGGCTGGCAGCATGGTCCGCAGGCTCATCTGGCTGGACATGCAGCGCCGCCACCAGCCCATGCCACTTCCTGTCTTGCGAAGACCCCTCCCCTCACCTGGGCCCTTGGAGGCTGACATGTGGCGCAGGAGAGCCCTGGTGGGTTCTGCTTTTTCTGCCAACTGTTTCCACATAACTTACGCTGTTGTTCTCAGTCACTTTGCTAGTGTCCTCGAGCACCTCATCTTTTCTCCTTTACTTTCTCTTCCTTCACTCTCTCCCCATCAAGCTGGAGTGTTCCTGCAGACCTGTCACACTCGGGTCATTTGAGAGGTGCCCTGAGCCCATTCCCAAGCAGCAGGCCCAAGCCCTCCTGACTTCTCCCAGCCGTCAGCCTGTAGCTGCCAGCTGCAGGCCCCTCTGAGAACCACGCCTCTCTCCTCCTCATCCCCTGTAGAAGTCCCAGATCTATACATGGGATGGCCGCCAGTCAGACCGCTGGGTCAGGCTGGACCTGAAGACGGAGCTGCCCCGGGACACTCTGCTGTCTGTGGAGATCGTGCACGAGCTAAAAGGGGAGGTCAGAGCAGCTCTCTGCACGCGTGGTCCATGGCCCCGGGCTTGAGTTCACTTGGCTATGCTGCATGTTGGTGGACAGGAGGGCCCAGGCTGGGTAGGGCTGGGCAGGGCTGGGCAATGACTACTCGAGCAGTTGCCCTGAGCCGTGAGGATCCAGGTAGGAAGGGGCGGTTCCCTGTGTGTCAGAGAGGACCCTGATTGGTGAGCCTGCCAGGTGGCTCTCAGCAGCCCATCTAGTGACCAGGCCCCCTAGGGAAGGAAGAGGCTGTCCCCTCCCTGGAGCTTGAGGGTCATGGCCGTAGAGGTGACTCTCAGAACAGCCATGGGGCCAGTAGGGCAAGGGTGGCCGCTGCCTCAGAGGACTGAGGTTTGTTGGGGCTCAGGCCCAGGGCAACTGGGCCTTCCCTGCTCAGTTGTCAGGATCACGCTGGGGCTAAGAATCGACTGTGCGAGCGCCCCTTCCCCGTGAGGAGGAACAGAGGCCACGTGCCACCATGGGCAGGGTCACAGTGTTCCTGTCCTTGCAGGGGAAGGCCCAGAGGAAGATCAGTGCCATCCACATCCTTGATGTCCTTGTGCTGAACGGCAGTGATGTCCGGGACCAGCATTTCAACCAGCGGTGGGCCTGGGACAGGGACAGTGCGGGTGATGCTGTGGGAAGACGGAGGGTCCTGAAGAACATGTCTAGTGCGGGGCAGTGGAGTCCCTAGCTGGTAGACACGTGTGACAGGGATGCTCCTTGACATTCGAGCGGAATCACACGTGTGATTGAGCACAGCTGAAGGTGCCCTTCGGGAAAAGCAGCCAAGAGCTCATGAGAGGAGAAGAAGAGAGAGTCCAGGCAGGGTCTGCGAAGGGCAGGGTGGTGTCGGGGCCACAGGTGCTGCCTCGTGGGGCAGCTCTGGCCTCTGAGGTGCCACTTGCATTACAGAATTCAGCTTGCCGAGAAGTTTGTGAAAGCCGTTTCCAAGCCCAGTCGCCCTGACATGAATCCCATCAGGTGAGCCTGTGGTTTCCCTCCAGCCCCGTCCCTGTGGGGGCTCCTTTCTGGCTCCTGCCACCACTTCTGTCCCGGGAGGTGCGGGTCAGTGGAGACTGCCCTTGGTGAGTGGCGGCTTTCGCCCCACGGTGTCTCCCTGTGCTGCCTGGCAGTGGGCGAAGCTGCACAGCAGCCCTTAGGGTTAGGGGGCCTCGTTTAAGATGCCCATGCGTCTAAGAGCACAGACACCTCGGGAGTCACCTGCACACCCTCCGGTGTTACTAGCCTGTCACTTAGCAAAGGGCACCAAGGCCTGGCGAAGTCTGAATGTGAAGCCAAGGAGGTTGAGGAAGTGGGGCCTCAGAGCTTGGGAGGTGGCCAGGGTTTATCATATTAGACAGTGGGGGAGAACAGTGGGGACCAGACTTCCAAGGCTAAAACTTGTCACCAGAGGGCTCCGCTTAACTCTGTGGTGCTGGAGTTGACTGTACCTTAGAAAAATCATTTTCAAGTAAATGTACTTAGTTAAAATGAAATCCCTTGCTGAGAATGCATTTTATAGATGCCACATGAAGCTGTCTAAAAGCACCTTGTCTGTGTGTGAAGGGTCCTGCACGCAGGCCCTGAAAAGGCCTCTGCCTCTGCTGGTCTGGTTGCTGGGTCCCTGAGCCCCTTCCCCAGTTGTGGTTCCAGAGGCCGGTTCGGCCCCAGAAGTAGAGGGCCGGCTGCCCCGTGGAGGGCCAGGAACAGTGTAGGCGGCTGGAGGGCAGGCAGAGGCCCCTTCTGCCTCACCTTTCCCCTTCCTCTCCCCTCTTTGAGGGGGGTTGGGGGCCCTGAGGGGCAGCTCAGCAGCTCTGAAACCTCGGGCATTAGTGCCACAGCTTGTGCCCTCCTCCTTGTTGGGCAGAGACAGGGCAAGGGCACGGGGAGCTCCTGCCAGCCAGGCCAGCTCCCTCCCTGATGTGTCCTCTCCTCGTCCCCGTAGAGTGAAAGAGGTGTACAGGCTGGAGGAGGTGGAAAAGATTTTTCTCAGGTGAGTGACACCAGTGCCATTCAGGAGCCGGGGAGCAGGGTGTGGGGATCACTGCCTGGGAGCTGACTTGGGCAGAAATACGGGGTTGTTGATGCTGTAACAGTCACCATTGTCCCTGTGAGGGGCGAGCAGAAAGCGGCTTGAGAGGCTGTAAATCCCTGCTGCTGGTGCCGGGAGGGAGCCCAGAGGGGCAGCGCAGCTCCCAGGCAGTTTCCTGGCAGGGTACAGCCCCTGCCACCTCACCAGTAGCTGTGATGCCAGGGTCACCTCTCACCCGTGTGGTTGGGAGTCAGAGCCTGCATCCTGACCCAACACTGCCACCAGCCCGTGCTGCGTGGCTTGGGGCACCTCGCTGTGTCTCTGCCTCCATTTCTTGTGTCAAAGTGGTTGGGGTAGCTCTGGCACAGCCCCAGGCTAACTTAGGGCACCCTCTGTGTGTCTCACTTCCTGTCCGCATGCTGCCTTGGGGAATCAGGCTGGAAATGAAGATCATCAAGGGCTCCAGCGGCACTCCGAGGCTCAGCTACACCGGGCGGGATGACCGGCACTTCGTGCCCACAGGCCTCTACATAGTCAGGACAGTGAACGGTGGGTGACAGTGACTGTTCCTGGTCCCTCCCCATGCCCAGCCAGAGGGACCAGGCTCACACCCTGCCTGAGGGAGCTGAGTGCCCCCGGTTAGGGCGGTCACCGCTGGCTGGCATTTCCCTGAGCCTTTTCTGGTCTTCGTGGGCCTGGAGTTGGGCTGGGGCAGAGAGGAGAGTGAGTGGACACACGGGGCTTTGCTGGCTGCAGGCCCTGGAGACGGCGGGGCAGCAAGGCTGTCATCATCCTAGTCACCATCCGAGAGCCCCTCAGGGATGGTGGTGGAGTGTGCACCCACACGGCCCTTCCCACTGCTGCTGTCCCCACGGGCACTGCCCTGCCTGAGTGCGGCCCTCCCCTCTCATCAGAGCCTTGGACCATGGGGTTCAGCAAAAGCGTCAAGAGGAAGTTCTTCTACAACAAGAAGACCAGGGACTCCACCTTTAACATCCCCACGGACTCCATTGCCCCGTTTCAGTGAGTAGCCTTCTCCTAAGTGTTCCTGCCCCAGAGCCCAAGACTGGTCACTGTCCCTCAGGGGCAGAGGCGTGGCTGCGTGGAGCCTGCCCAGGTAGGGTTTTGGCCTGGCCCTTGGCACTCAAGGACCCAGCGTCCATTTACCAGATTGCATCATTCTTAAAGTTAGCAGCTGTCACCGGGCGTGGTGGCGCACGCCTGTAATCCCAGCACTTAGGAGGCTGAGGCAGGAGGATCCCACAAATTTGAGGCCATTCTGTGCCTCAAAAAAAAAAGAAGAGCAGACAGGAAAACCAGGACTATCAGTGGTTTGTGACCCAGAGGGATGTGATTAGCACAGCAGCTGCTGTCAGGAAAAGTTGGTTCTGGGAGTCACAGGAGTGCCCCAAGTCCGCGGGCTGAGGGCCCTCTGACCCCTCTTCTCCCTCTCCCCCCCTAGTGTCTGCTACTTCAGCCGGCTCTTCTGGGAGTGGGGAGATGGCATCCGCGTGCACGACTCCCAGAAGCCGCAGGATGTGGACAAGCTGTCCAAGGAGGATGTCCTTTCCTTCATCCACATGCACAGCCACTGAGCCAGGCCTGGGCGCTCCTGCCGAATGCCCTGTCCCTCCCAGGGCAGGGTGCTCTGCACGGTTCCTTCTGCCTCTGTGAAGGAGCTAGGGAGCACCAAGCCTGGGGGTCGGCAGGGGCCGTCAGAGGACACGTGTTCCTGGGACAGGTTTAAGGTCAGCGCCCAGAGGACAGGGCAGAGCAGAGGTCTTTGGGCACTGCCGCTCTCCCAGGGCTCCTGCAGACGGCACCACCCCTCGGGGTGGCCAGGCCCCTGCTGTGCCCAGCTTTAATTGGGCCAACCCTGGGTGGGTAGAGCCCACTGTGGTTTCTGCCCAGGAGCAGCTGTTGTACAAGTTAAGAGTTTTGAGTTTGCTGTGTTGATGCCAAGTTGGAGACAACTCTGTCTCCTTCCCGTCTTGAGCCCTTCCCTGGAGTCCTAGCACGGCCAGCAACACTTGGGATCAGAGCTGTGTTGTCTTTGGCACTGGCTGTGACTGCGGAGCCTTCCTGGGCCACCTGCTTTTCATCCAAAAGTTGGGCAGCTCGAAGAGGGCAGGAAGTGGCCTTGGAGACCTGCCTTTCCTCTCCCCTAGCAGCAGTGGCCCTCCTGGTAGCAGAGTGCTGAGCTGGAGGTTGCTCTTTGCCACCCTTCCTCCCATTAGGAGGGACGGTCTGCTTTTGTCTGCTCATGGTCACTCCGTTTCCTCCATCTTGGCAGAGGCACAGAGAGGAAAGGAAGCGGGGCAGCAGCCCTGGACAGGGGAGGGTGCTCTGGTTGTTTTTAACAGGAAATAACTTTGAGAGGCTCCTGTGACTCCCTAGGGCCCCAGCCTGGTGCCAGTCTGGTTTCCATGGCGATAGGGCACTGAGGCTCCTGGCAGGTTGGAATTGACTCCACAGGGCCTTCAGCCAACACCCAGGCTGGCAGTGACACGGTGGGGACACCGTATTCCACCCAGCTTTGGGCTCAACGGTATGTTCTGCAAAATCTTGGTTCATTAAAGATGAACATATTTTTAATGCCTGTGTGGCTCAGTGCTTTGTGGTCCGACTTGGGCTGGAGGTGGAGAGAGGAAGCTGTGCTCAGAGAGGGTTTGTTCAGTTGGAGCTGCTGCTAGAAATCGGGGAAATCACAGCTGCTGTTGGCAGGGATGGGGAGTGAATGAACCCACAGCCCCAGGAGGGTGGGGAGGCACCTTTCCTCTTACATAAATCACAGCTCACGTGGCGGTGGCACTGTGACAATCCAGGATCAGTCTATGGGACTAAAATAACAGGCGTCAGACCAATTAGTGGCACCAGACTGGGGCCGAGGGGGAGGGAGAGGCAGACTGCTGACCCGGCTGGGCCCGCCTGCACTGTGCCAGGCTCCTGCAGAGGGCTCAGTTCCCCGAGGAGCACTCACTCTCACACTTGCTTACCCCGTGGGGCCTGCCCACCGTGTCACTGCTGGGCTGAGATGGTGCCTACACGCCTGCCCTCCGGCCCATGCCGGAAGTGGAGCCGGAGTGAGGTCTCCATCAGCCACTCCAGCCTCTGGCCACTGTCACCGTCAGTCTGGTCATTACCCAGGCTCTCGCTGCCCACGTACTCTCCAGGGCCCCCGCCTGCCTGCCACTGGAAGATGGCTGAACTCTGCACTCCCTAGGGACCTCTGCACGACCACTTCGAGTCCCTGGGTCGTCCTCACTGCACAGGCTGCATTTCTCCTGTCATAAGTACAGGCCAAGGCACGTGGCATGTTCCGCAGCAGTCCGGGAGGTGGCACAGCGGCCGCTTGCCTTCCCTGCTGAACTCCGTGGCATGAACCTGGGAATCTCCTCTCCATCCCTCAGTGCCCGCCCTCAGACCGTGACATTTACTCGGCAGACAGCAGTGGCCTGGCGTTCTTTATTGCCTGTCCCTTGGGCCAAGGGAGAAGCCAGCGCCATGTCCTTCCCACACCCAGGCCCACTCAGGCCAGGCTGGGGCAGGGGCCCAGGAGACCACCTGAGTGTCAGGTGTCCTGCGCCCAGGTCCTCTGGAGGAGTCACTCACATGGTCCAGTGGGCGTAGAGCAGGGCCAGGAGGATGAAGATGGCCACCGAGAGCAGCATGTTCTTTCTGTTCTCCTGCCGAAGCAACTTCAGCTCCTTCTCTGGGAGGCAAAAGGGCGGTGGGCACTGTCAGGCTGTCCAGGCCCCTCTACTGCCTTCTGCTATCTCCAGTGGGTCCACACATCACTGTAGGCAGAGTGGTCTTTCTAGCCACCTTAAGTAGTGACCCCAGGCTGTCCAGGTCCTTACAACCTGTTGGCTCCAGTGGGGCCCCAGGTCCCGCTGCCAAATGCTACTCAGCCATTCTCTTCAGATGCAGTTGAGGCCATGGCTGAAAGTCAAGCTAGGTGGTGACATTGCTGGGTGAGTCCCCTGGCCTGTCAAGGCGGGGGCTGGGTGCCCACCCTTCCCAGAAGCTCCTCCCTCCCCCAACAGTTGGGCCCTCTTTGCGCTAGGCAGGGCCTGTGTCCTTGCTGGGTGCCCAGCTCTCAGGAACTAGGGGTTTGAAGAGTAGCGGTTTGCTCCGTGAGGCGGTCGGTCCCAGGAGTAGAAAAGCCAGCCCTGCCACCGAAGTGAACAGTGATGCTGCGATTCTGGGTGAAAACTGATAGCCCACCCAGCCCTGCCCTTGCAAGGAGGGGGATGGGAGAGGCTGGACGGAGCCCAGGGTGCCATGCCGAGTGCTGATTCACAGCGGTCCTTCTGGGGCCCCCTGTGGGGGGTGAAGGGGAAACCCAGAGTCCCCCCAGACCCTTTTCCCTGTCCTCACTAGGTGATGCCTGGGTTCTGCTGGCTGTGCCCAGAAGGTGGCAGCATTGCTCCACGTGCAGAGGCCCTTCCCACCCAAGGGGGGCTGTCATCCAGTACCTGACCCTGCTCAGGGTGTGTGTGTCAGTGTCAGAGCCTGAAGTCTGAGTGCACGGGGCTACCGCCACACCCGGGCATCCCAGAGAGGACAGCCACCTATGGCTACCTTCTTCCTCCCCTGGGACAGAAGCACTTGGAATTCTCCCAGGCTGCTGGATCCTTCAAAGAACCACCTTGCTCCCTGGGGTTGTCGGGCTCCCCGGCTATCTGGCCCTCCCAACCCTGGGGACAGGAGGTCCCAGCTGGTCACCCAAGGGAACTTTCTTACCGTAGTTGGAAGCTTTGCGCATTAAGCTATTTTTCTCCTTCTCCAGAGACAGCCTGTGAGGGGAAGGGGTTTTATGGCTCAGGTCCATTTCCTGTGTCCCCCAGGGGAAGGGGACAAGGGCTCAGGTTTTAGGGGACAGGAGCAGGGATCTCATTTACTTGGGGACCCAGGACAGATGCTGGGCGGAGGTGCTACCTGTCCTCGGGGCTCAGCTCTGCCCTGTGGAGCCGGCAGCTCACAGCCTCCAAGTCCCGCCGGCACTGGGTCAGCTTCTCTTCCAGCCCGTCGATCTGAAACACACGGTCACGGCGCTGGCTCAGGAGTCTTCTCGGGCAGGTACCCAGTATCACCCGCCCTGGGTGCCATTCGCTGTCCTTTTCACCATGGCTGCAGCCTGAGCCCCTGGAAACAGGCCTCAGAGCTGTCTCGACCCTGTGAGCAAGCGCAGGTCGGGGTGCAGGAGCAGCCTGGGGTTGGCTGGCTGTTTCCCCAGAACAGCCCAACCACGGCAGGCGCCTGGCCCATGGGCACCCACACACAGGGTGACCACCCAGGGCCAAGAGACAGGGATTTCCCCACTGACACACTTACTAGCGCAGTCTGAGTTGTAAAACAGAGATTCAATGAGAATCAATAAAAATTTTAAAATGCAACTTAAACTCACTTTCATTCCTTTCTGACTTGATTCTTGGGCAACAACATTGCCCGTCATCAAGATAGCTGTAACTTGTGTGGTAAAATAGCTAAGCTCTCGAAAGGACGGCTGCCAAAGAGATCTTTTTCCATTTGTTTTGATCACAGTTTGAGTGGAGGGAAAGCGTTCTGCAAAGTACTGGCCGGGCTGGCCGAGCCTGAGCTTGGTGTCATGCACTGGGCACTGGGTGCCTCCTCCCCATCCGCCTGACTCGGGGCCCAGGTGTCCATGTGCCTGGCCACCCCTGGGCCTGCTGCTGGGAGCCTAGATTGGGTGTTGGGGGTGGCCAAGTTGGGCCCAGCACAGCAGCCAAATGTGCAGCGCTCTGGAGCCCTGCAACGCCCACCCTCCACCCCCACCTCGCGCTCTCGCCATCCCTGGGTGGGAGCGACCATCACCTCCGGATCACACGTGGGAGAACCAGGTGCCCAGCTGGTGACTGCTGAGGAGACCACAGCAGCGCCCTCTCCCCTCAAGCATCCTGCGCTGGGGTCTGGGTGCCAGAGGCTCCGGGCCTCTACCACTCGCTCTTCCTCACACCACCCACCTGTCCTGCAGCCCCAACTCGGCCGGGGCCCCATGGGAGGTGCAACCCCAGAGCCTGGCCTTAACTGCCTGGCTGGCTGTGCCACTTCTCTGCCAGGGGGTTCCCAGGGGGAGGGCTGTCCCTGGGGAGGCCACAGGCCTTCCTGCAACTGCACAGCAGGGAAAGGCACCCTGGGGCAGGCTTGGGGAGAAGAGAGCGACAGCCCAAGCCAGTGGTCCCCAACACGCAACCCAGCTGGTTAGGACTAAGACCTGCTCCTTCCATCCCATGGCAAAGAAACCACAAGCAGGCACCAAACTCCATAGTGGACCCAAATAAAACTTAATTCATGACATTCCACCTCCTATCCGAGGCCACCCCTGCTGCCCTTGGCTGGAGGGGCCCACACTCCTCCCCCTGGCAAAGCCACCAGTCCTCTCAGGAGGCCGAGTGGACACTGCCCTCCTGTTTGGGTCCAGACCGTATCTTTCCAAACTCTGGGAATCCCCAGTGGGGGTAACTGGCAGCCCACAGGTCATGTCTTGCTCATAGGCTGACCCATTCCACATGGGCCTGTGGCCCTGCCACTGAGGGTGTCAGAGTTTGTAGCTCCTATCTGAGATGCCACTATAGCTCCCCATCTCCTCTGTGCCCACCACAAGGCCTGGCCTGCTCAGGAATACTTAGCCCTGAGGGGCTGGGGACAAACGGCTGAAGTCTTATGTGACAAGTGGAGTCTGAAACCCTCCTCTTGTGCCCAGAGCCTGGAGACAGGCACAGAACCCAGGGACTTGACAGGCTACACACTGCAATCTTAGTCCTAGGCCAGGGTTCTTCCTGCTGTCCCTTGGGCCAGGGCCTGGTTTGCAAGTCATTCTGGGCAGGGAGCAGGTTGGGGAGTTCTACCCCTAAGACACCCCTGGGAAGGCTATCACGTGCTCAAACTCGTGGTAATTGCTCCAGACCAAGGCCAGGAACTCATGCTAAGCAAAATCTTAAAACGGAGGCTGACAAACCACAAGTGGCCACGCCAATCTGCCATCGTGCTCTGGACAGGGCCTGAGGAGCTGGTGGTCGGGGTCCTTTATATGAACAAGACCAATTTATTTGCAGTTCCACTAAATAGGCCCACTTTCATTTGCCACTTTTTAATGAGGCTTAAACAGGCAAACACAAATCAAGGTTTTAGGGACTCGAATTCTAACCTCCCTCTATGAATATTTATGTCCTGCTAACAGCTCTCCGATTCCCTTCTAAATACAAATCCCCCTTCTTTACAACCCACCTGCCTGGCTGCCGATGCAGGCCTGGTGAGGAAGGCCACAGACTCATCCCAGGGGTGGCTCTGCAGATCCCCAGCCCTGGATGTGGCTTAGGAAGCTGGCCTACACCTGGCGAGAGTAGCACTTGCGGCAGAAGTCTGCTCTCGGCAGCTATGATGCCTGGGCAGAGACTCTGGGGGACCCAGCTGCAGAGGCGGAAGGGAGGGTCAGGAGCAGAGAGTACAGAGGGGCTGACCTAGCAGGGCGGGAACAGAAAGGGGGAAGAGCACCCAGAAAACAGACCTCAGAGGAGTCCCCAGATGGCTGTTTGGCCAGCTCTCAACTCTGTGCACATGGAGTACACACTTTGTGGCTCCAGGTTAGTGTCCTCCCCGTCACCAGGGTGAAGGCAGCAGAGATGCCAGGACTGGAAGACATGGGGGTTAGGACCAGAGTAAGATGTCACAAAGGTTCTAGAAACATAAGGATCAGAGCTGCCAAGCAGTTGGGAGCCAGACTGGCCAGAAGCCTCAAGTTGCAGCTGCCTTAAGCGCAGTGGTGGGGCCCATGGGCTGGAATCGGTGCCCTGACTATCACTCACTTGTGTGTGACTGGCGAGTGCCTTGTTCTGTTCCTGAGCAGACACGTGTGAAATAAAGAAATCGCGTTTCACATCTAGAGAGTTGTTACGAGGACGATGTGACATACAGGTGCTTGGAACAGTGCCTCACACAGAAGGAGTTCAGTAAGTGTTTCCTATTGTTACTGGAGAATGGTTTTCGCTGCATCTTTGGGGAATAAAAAAGGCTGAGTAAACGGTGCCAAGAGGGAGAGAAGGTGTGGAGCAAAGACAGGAGGTGGCAGAGGCTTGCGCCTGGCCATTCCGCTGCTCTCTGGAGGACCCACAGCCAGGGCCCAAAGGACAGCAGCTGCCAGCTGTTTGGGACACAGCACACTGGGAAGGTCCTGCCCGGGGAAGGAGTGGGGTGGGCTCCGGGGCCAACGACTGAGCAGTGTCCCAGGCAGAACGGGCTCCGCTAAGGGCAGAGGAAGCACAAAATGGCAAGCAAGCCTGGCGGCCGGGGAGCCAGGCACTGCCACGGGAAGCACAGGTGCCAGGCAGACTGAGGCCAGGGAGGGGACACTGAATGCTGTGCTGCCTCCTGGGACTTCTGTCTGGCAGGCTGGACAGCGGCCCACAATGGGCTCAGATGGTGGGACTTGCCTAAAGCTGAAGGGGACAGAACAAAGCAGACACAGCCAAGGAGGGGCCCTGTTCAGGTGGTGTGAGGGCAGAGTGGAGGCCAACGGGCAGTGACGTTAAGATAGTACACTCAGGGGGCCAGGGATTTAGCCCAGTGGTGCCGCCGCCTGCCTCGAAAGCACAAGGTCCCAAGTTTCATCCCCGGCACACACAAAAAAATAGTACACGCAAAAGGCCAAGGGCAGTCATCACCAGAGAAGCAGAGCACTGCGTCCAAGTCGCCCAGCCGAGCCAGCAAAGGAAGCAGGGATGCAGTCCCCCGGGGACACGGGACCCCAGGAAACAGGTAGCAGTGGGGGTTCCCTCTGTGACCAAATAGTGCCTCTGGACCCGCACAGATGGAGGACTTTGTGGGTGTTGTGTGAACCTCCACAGGTGGGTGGATGCAAGCTTGACCCAGAGACCAGCAGGGGGCAGGCCCTGCTGTGGGGCCTACTGGGGGTTGGCGGGGCAGGGGAGGAGGGAAAGGCAGGGAAAGTGAAGCAGACTGGGGGGAGCAGGAAGGTGCATCCCTCAAGGAGGGAGGGCGCTGAGGGTGGGGAGGCTGCACTGTAACAGAGAAGCCCAGGAGCAACCCTGGTGCTGAGCCCCTGCCTCACTACTGGAATGGGAGAGACGTGAGACTGGGGAGCCTTCACCAAGGAGGGGGGGCCCTGCAGGAGGAGATGTGTAGGTGCCAGCCAAGCAGGGTCTTCACTGCTGCTGCCCGGTGCCAGGGAAGAAAGGTTTCCTGCAGTCACAGGCCTGGGACCGGGGCTTCTGTGAGCACTCCCTGCCCTGTGGCCCTGAAGCTGGAGCCACCTGCCTGGGGAACATCACCTTGCTCCCAGAGCTTTAGGAAAGCCTCCCTGGGGTCCTATACACCATAAAGCTGCTGTGTTAAGAGAAACTGTAAAATTCCTCTGAAATCCCAGAGAGGAATCTTTTCAGGAGTGTGGAGCCTCTAGGAATCAAAGCCCAAATCAAGTCTCAATGCAGAAGGAACCTCTGGCTTCGAGGCTATCAGATAACTGCAGTTAGGCACAGGGGTCAGGCGGCCCAGGCACCAGCTCTGGGGGCTCGAGTGTGGCTTCTACTCTGCCCATGAGCTCCAGCCACAGGCTGGTGTGGGCTCCACTCTCCCCTGAAGGTGGCCGAGCAATGCTCACTGGGCATTTGGACAGCTAGGAGAGGCTCTGCCTGGTCCCCAGGGAGCCATGGTGGGGCCACACGGCCCACTCTTTTCCAGTCTAGGAAAAAGTCCTTTCCTGTCACATTGGGGCCTTGCTCCCAGGGGCTTCTGGCCAGCGAGTGGCAGAGGTTGCTGGGTTTGCCCCCAGTCAGGCAGAGTCACAGACCCAACCTGCGCCTGCCTAGCCAGGGCCCTGCTGGGCACAAGGGCTAATAAAGAGCACGGTGGCTGGTACCTGAACAAGCCATGGGGCCTCATGGGTCTGAATGACACAGCAAGTCAGAGCAGCCTCAGAAACCAAGTCCACACAACACAACCACAGCACAGCCGCAGCCTCTGCACCAGGCTCTGTTCTCATGCTTCACACCTGTGA